GGTAACAAAACTGCATTGCAATAAATAATCTACATTTAATAATGCTTACTAAAACCATTACATTAGTTGATGTCATGTTACTTAGTCAACGTGGATCAATAGTGTTAACCGCCCTTTTGACTTTCGCTGATTGGCATTAACCACTAACTCGATTAACTTTTGATCTTTTTTAATTTATTAGTCAAATAATTGAAAAATATATTAGTTTTTAATAAATAAAATTTTGTTAAAGAACAAATATTATATAGCATTATATAAAAATAATATGATGTAATGTTATACCAAACATTATACAACACTTAACATATCATTATATAATACAATGCAATGCTAAGTTATTATGCAATTTGATTAATAACATTCTATGTCGCTCGTCAAACATTCCAACAATAAAAACTTAAAAAACAAAAACAAAAACAAAAATAACTATGCACTAAATGAAGGATCAAATTATAAGTAAAAATCAAAATTTGACCATTAAGTCCTTGTGTTAGTCAATTGGGCCTATTTACAACAGTAAAACCGTTATTTTGAAAGAGTGGTGTTAATTAGGTCTCACTCAATTTTTTTTTTTCAAGCCTCAATATTAATCAAAATGATTTCAAAAATATAATTTACAAATATATTATATTTCATTCAAAGATTACCCCTCTCTAACATTTTCTTCCAAATCTTTTTGTTAACACTAACCTATTTTTTTTTTCTCTTGAATTAAATTTCAACCACCATTTTTATCTGAATTTAAATCTAAATGCAGTCATTCAACAAAATAGAGACAGGAAAAGATCAAAAAAAAAATATATATGAAGACAAAAACAAAAGTCAAAACTTACTTTTTTGTTTTTTTTCATAATTATTGTCTTCCATTGATTGAAATCATCTTCACCACTATAGAATATTTTTAATCTTAAAAACACAATTCTAAACATATAGAAGGGTTAGAGTTCTAACAACAAAGATTTTTTTTTTTTTAATATTTTAAGGATTTAAACGATTAAATATTTTTTTTTAGTTTTACATATTTAAAGAATATATAATTTTTTGAAAACATATTATTGGGGCTTCCCCCACTTTTAAATGTATTTTTGCTTTGACAAATTTAACCTTAATAACATAATAATTTATAAATATATTCATTCTAATTTTATATTTTTGCTTTAATTTTTAACCTTTACATAAACCCTAGATTTAAATTTTCTAAATCATTGAAACATTTTTTCTTTATTTCAAATAATTCTTTGTTTGATGAAAGTATATTACTAATGTTATGGAAAAAGAAACCACATAACGGGATGAATATGAATCTAAATGTGAAGAACAAAAAAGTAAGTTTCAAATTTGAAAATGGAAAAATAGGTATAAACAAAAAACCTAATTAAGAAAACAGATAAAAGTTGTGTAAAAAAAACCCTAATTAATTTTGGAATTGGGGAAAAAAAGTGTAAATAAAAACCCTAGTTAAACTAATTAAGTAGGGTTATTTTTGGTATTAAATGGAGTTTAAAGATAGTTTTTTTAAATATAATAGCGGTATATTTAACAATGGATGATATTGATCAATCTGGTGAGAGCTAAAAATCTCTTCCCTTTTAGAAAAGGATTGAGTTGGAATTAAATAACATCACTCCTTTTGAAATATGTTAGGAGTTAGGACTTAGGTCCACTTAAAAGGTGTCAAAGTCACGAGTGATAATGAGGATAAAACTACAGTATAATCTTATATTTAATATTAATTAAAAAAATAAGCCTACATTTTAAAACCACTTATAATAATCCAAAATTAATTCTTAAAAAGAAAATGAAAGAATGCTTATGAATTCATCAATGTAATGGTTAAACGAAGATTAAGTAATATTACTCAAATTTGACAAAGAGAATTTCCATTACAAATAAACAGTATATTTTAGAAAATATTTTTTAATTTTCACAAAAGAAGGAAATTTTTATTATTGAAGAAATATGATAAAGATTAATGAAAATTACAAAATTCAGATGTGTTTGTTTTGTTATTTTAAATAGCATTTTTAAAATATATTTATAAAGTTAAGTTAGATTATTATTTCGAAAATATAATTTAAAAAAATATATTTAATTGAGTTATTACTGCAGGAATATAATTTATAGCTTTAGAATGTATTTAGGATGGTATATTAGAGTTGAATAAATTATTTGGTATATTATTTTATAAAGGATTTATTGCTAAATTAATTTATTATTACAGCCTATAAACTTTTCAAGTAACGTTTTAATATTATTAAATATTTAATTGTTAAAGGTTACGCCGACGATGTGGTAGATCTGGAGTCGTGTAAAAGCCGCTGGCGGCGATCGAAGGTGGTGGCCTCGGGTTGGAGGAAAGCCGACGAGGTGGTAGATCTAGAGTCGTGTAAAAGCCGGTGGTGGCGCAAAAAAACTGGTGGCCTGTGGTGGAGGAAGGTGGCCGACGATGGCTACATGAGCTGGATCTTTGGGCGCCGGGTTTCAAGCCAAAGCCCATTTTAGGAGAAGGAGTTGAGGGTTCTCTTGGATGATGTTTTTGAATGCAGGTGGAAGAGGGTGTTAGGCTGGTTGTAACGATTTGGATTTTTGGGCGCCGGTGGTGGTTTCAAGCCGAAGCACGTTTTTGAATGCAGGTGGAAACCGTGTGTTAGCGTGGTGAAGGAAGAGGAAGAAAAAACTGAAGAGAGAGGAAAAGGCCAAAAAAAGTCGCCTGATGTCAGCGTCGAAATTTTCAGAACGGCCAAATGGCGTCAGAAATCAAAATTTTCAGAATGGATTTCCCTGAGTAATAAAACAAAGACATTCTAAAAATTTGATTCAAAATAAGAATAAAAATACTAAAACAAACACAAGAGTCTTCTTCACAACTCTCATATTAACAGCCCACAAAAACTGACCTTTGGGCTTATAAGAGAACTAATTAACCCAATAAATCGCCTTTTAAAGTTTTCTAGTTATAAGGCCTTGATGACACCACTATTAAATAAATCATTTTTAATTTGCTCATAAAAAAGATATCTCTTAAAGGCATTTATAAAATAGATATCTATAAGAATTTTCCTTCAATAATATACTCAAGTTGAAATATTTAATCTTTCTTGTTAACTTTTTATTTACAGTTGAATATCTTTACAGTGATACTCTATATAGGAATAATATCTATATAGTCATAAAAACTTTCGATCCTAACTTGGATCAGTTATAAATAAGAATAAATTTCACATTGTAATAAGTTATAATTTTTTAAAGTCTCGTCTTAAGGAATTTGTCTCTACATAGTAATAATTATATGTATATTGCAAAAAAATATGCTATATTAAATTAAATGTTTAAAATGAAATAAAATATTTATCTAAAGTTGTTTAAGACAATGATTTATGTTTAAAAGTTGTTATTACATATTTTATCTTGCGGGTACATAATAAGCATCAGCATGGACACATTCTTATCAAAATATTTCTAACTCTCAAATATATTTAGAGCTTTTTGGCATGAAATTTTTGGTATTTTCGTACTATCATCCTTAAAATTATCTCCTTCATTTTCTTGTCTAATTCTAGTAATGATTTCTTTTTCAGTTAAAACATGCACGACTAATTGCTCATTTGGATTATTGAGGAAGACAATAATATCCATTTGATCAGTATAGTGAAGTTGTCGAATCTGATCACTCAATTTTACAGTGACTTTTTGATATCCATTTACGTGCTATCCTAATGTTACTAAAACAATGAATTAAAATTATAATACTACTAAAACATGAATTATAAAATCAAAAATCAAAACAATAATTCTTGTAACTATACCTCTATTAAATTATAACCTTCTTATAGTAATAAATTTAATTGGTCTCAACATTATGACTATAAAGAGGTTATACTGTATATAATTTTTGGTTAATTTTCAATTTAACTTTCTAAGTTTAAACCACCTTGGAATTACCTACTATATTTGTGACTTACTTAGAACATTGGATTTGTAAAGTGTTCATTAGGTTCCGGAGATTAGTTAAGGAACGTACAAACTGGCCCGGACACCCCGATTATCAAAAGAATAAAAAAATACTTCCTAACTTTTTTCAAATTTACATAAAAAATTCTTTCTTATTTTCTTTTCTTTTTCTGAGGCTAAATTTAGTGGAATTATGTGGCGATTCTTCTTTATTGTTGAAGTATCTACCATTAATTAATTTAATGGTGGTATACCAACCACCTAACTTTAATTAATGTTTCGAAAGTCTAAAAGTTCCCAAAACACTTTACTTCAATTTCTCCTCTCGATTACTAATGTTTCACCTTCGATAATATGCTAATGTCATTACGCAGAGGCGACTTTTTGGGAGAGTAGAAAGAATATCATAAATGTTGATCCTTATTTCAATGCATTATAAAGTGACTTTGCTAAATTATTTGCCGTTTTTCTTGATTAACCTTAATGTATTAATACTCCCAAATAATCTAATGGAGATTGTTCCTAACATCTATTGACTCTGAGGTGCGTTATTGCTCAACACAATCATTCTTTTAGCTGATTAAAATCCACTTAATTTCTGAATGTTTTCAATCGATCTCTCTGAAATCTGAATCATCACCTGTGCTCAACTGGCCTCCCCATAAAGCAGTTTCAAGTTGTATATGGTTTTGGAATGACAGAATTAATGGTCATATATCCGCCAGAAGAAAAAGTGCAGCAAAATCGAATTAAATCTTATGTTCTTGCTACCCCAGTTTATGAATCTGAAGAAAGAATTCATTTTTATGCTATATGTTGCATGCATTTTAATCTCAACTAACTCTCAGTGGAGACCAGTGCAGTAACCCACCATCACAGCCACCCATTTCTATCCACACTACCTCTAATTCATCATAATCATCTGGGTTATCATTTTAATTTATAATTTATAGATATACAAAATATCAAATCGTTTTTATAAATCAATTAATTATCAGAAGCCTCTTTGTAAAAAAAATAACAAAATTGAGAAATAAATACAAATCTTCATGTCATTGATTAGATATATAATAATACATAAATAACACACACTGGATAACACAATATATACAGTATATTGTGTTGTCATTATCATCCGACATTAATTTTGGCCTGCAGGGGCAAACAACAATTGAACCTTATATTTGCACCGTTTTGAAATCAGTGAGAGAATTGCACCCTCTGCCTAATTAATTGTGTTATCCTTCTAATCTAATCTAATCAATCCTTCTAAATCTAATCTAGATTCTTTTTCTTTGATTATTTCTAATTAAGCTACTGCATTTACAGTCGGTTGGGTTACATTAATGGAAAGGATCCAACCCTCAGTGAGCCCTTCAAGAACCAGCTAGTACGTTTCTTCAATGCATAAAAATTTGGTTTGAATTTAGTGTCCCAATTTTCAAACCTTGGATTTTCTCATCTAAAAAGAAGAAGGGTGGGGAGCTCATCACTTCCTATAGCACCAGCCACAACAGACACATTATTTTGTGGCTTATTATTGTCTTCATCAACAAGCGCGGACGAAAGAGAGGGAACAGAAATGGTGAGATCAAGATTCAAATTAGAGTCACCAGACGTTTCATCTTCAAGACAACTTCCGGCATCAGAAACTCTATCGTTATCGGCAGAAATTACTTTCGCGTTGGAAACTGCATGCTTTGATGTGACAGTAGCTGAAATATCATGACGTTGTGGAAGCTGAGGACGAGGAATATGGTCGAGCCGATGGTTATTGGGATCAATACCCATGCTTATCAGCTTCTTTCTGAGATGAGAGTTCCAATAGTTCTTCACTTCATTGTCAGTCCTCCCCGGTAACCTTCCAGCAAGTAATGACCACCTGTAAGAAAGAACCCATAAATCATAAACAAAAAGAAGCATAATAATAATAATAATAATAAATGCATTTATAGATATAAAGATGGAGAGAAAGAGGTGGTACCGGTTGCCAAGGAGAGCATGAAGCTTGATGATAAGATCTTCTTCATCTTGTGCAAAATTACCACGTTTGATATCTGGCCTGAGATAATTTGTCCATCTTAGCCTACAGCTTTTACCGCAGCGGTGTAAACCTGAAATATATATTTACATGAAATTAATTAAGCGATTCAGAAATTAGAATGACAAGCTCTTGCACAAACTTAATTATATATGGACATGCAAGCATGAAGCTCATGCACATATATAGGGAGGTAATTAATAATTACCAGCCGCTTTGGGGAGAGAACGCCAACAGCCTTCACCATGAGTTCGAATATAATCAATAAGTTTCTGGTCTTCTTGCTTGGACCAAGCGCCCTTGTTGGTGTCTTGTTTATCACAGCAAGGCTTTCTCATTATAATGTTGAAGAGAATGAGAGAAAATTAGAGGAAGAGTGAAACTAGGGAAAGAAGAGGGAGAAGAAAGGCATAGATATAGCTGAACAACAGAGGAGGAGGAGTTGACTTGGACCGGTGGTTTTGAGTTTATAAATTAGGTGGGTCATGAGAATTAGGATAAGGGTCTTTGTTTTGAGGGTCTCTCGTTTGTTTACCGTTAAGTAGATGTCACTTTCCCTACCTACGCTTTTCAAATTTCTTATTTTATTTTTAATAAAATTTCATTGGAAAATTAATCTGTTCATGCTCTACCTCTACCTATCCAAATACTCTTTCCTGGTTGGTAGCGCAAGTTTCTCAACAAACTCCCTTTTTTTTTTTTTTTTGTGCTTTGTAAAATATGGTAGAGTTCATTCTACAGTAAAGAAATATTATATGTCTACTATTGTAATTAGTCCTTTCATAATACATATGTGTTTTTTTTTTTTTTGTGCTTTGTAAAATATGGTAGAGTTCATTCTACAGTAAAGAAATATTATATGTCTACTATTGTAATTAGTCCTTTCATAATACATATGTGTGCAGCAAATCTAAGTTATATTCCTCCACTTTTCATAACCAATGAAATTATGTCTTAACCACCACTGGGTAGCTTGATGACAAAAGAGTAAAAAAAAGGTTTCATGAGCTCCTGAGTTCGAATCCTCTCATGCACTAATAGAGATTACCATTGAGGCTTTTACTTGGTCGAACATTCTAGGGCTCCAGAGAATTAGTTGAGGCACTCGTAAGTTGGTCAAAACACCCTCAGTGATAAAAGGAGGTCTCTTTAGTGTTTATATGTTAGTATTTTACTTACATAGGCGACCTTATTAACATTTTTGACTTCTTGTTCATGTTAAGAGTTTCTCTTATTTCACCGTGCTGTACATATTAGTTGTTGCTCTTTCCATGCTCCTTGTGTTTTATTTGCTTGCCATAGTGTTAATCTTTTTCCCATTGTTTTAAAACCTGGCCCAGTTTGGCTGGTTCAACCGGGTCTTAGTGCCTTCACTGGTTAGGTTACAATTTTTCCTACTCATTTAAAATCCTAGAAATTAGGACATCAATCTATGAACAATTGAAGGCTAGAATATTAAGGCTTTTAAAAAGAATCTACTGATGAGTGCAATGGTGGCAACAACATCAATTTCTGGTGACTGAATCGATTGGAAATTACAAAATAATGTCGTCGAAAAAATCCATCTGTTGCCAGCGACTGGGGAGGTGAACGAGGGCGGGGTGAGATGGGTTTTGGTCAGGAGGCTAAGGGGAGTGTTTTCATGGTGATGGAGAGTGTTGTTGTCGCTAGAAACATGCCCTATTTGCCAAAGCCAACGGTGGCTTTTGGGGTGTTTTTGCAAGATTTTAAATATATAAGGACTTATATGTAATTTTTAGGGGTATTTTTGTTAGATTTCAAACTTTTGGACATTGGTTTGACCTACCGGTCAAACTGGGACCCTGCCACTTTGTCGGGTTTCACCTCGGATTGGGTTTTAAAACATTGCTTTTTCCCATTTGGAATGTTTCTGCTGACCCCTGATGAAACTTGAAATATGTTGCTGAAAGCATTCGAGGATTACAGGTAGTCAGTTATGAAAAATCTGATGAAAGGTTTATTGTTTCGTCGACATACAAAATTTTATAAAAACATTTGTGAAATTCAATGTTTGTTTTGTAGTTTATTTTACAGAAATAATCCTAGATCACAGTTCATCTCCCTCAATGATGTTTAGGGGAGAACTGTTACTAAATTCAATGAGTTTTCTTCTTCTAAATGTTTCTTGCTTTGATATGAAACCATGAGCAGTAGTAGGATACATATACATAGAGGCATAGCCACGATTTCTAATCAGTGGGGTCAAAAAATCTAAATAAATAAATTTACAATAAAATATATACTGAAGTAATAAGTATATAAAAAAAAAAATTTAATCTAAAAATTTAATTTTAAAAGTTATACATACCAAATTTTTAATTCTATAATTGTCCATGATGGTATTTCATATTTTGAAAATGTTGCATAAACTTACCTTGTGATCTTCAAATAAGTAGTCTTCCTTGATTAATCCAACTAAAGAAAAAAAAAACGTATTAGAGAAAAGGAGAGGAACTGAGGAAGAGAGAAAATGGGAAAAAAATATGGATATTTTTAAATTCTAGGATCAATAAAAAATGAAAATATTTTAGTAGGATCAATAAAATATAAGTAATTTTAGCCTTGAAATTTATCAAAAGACTCCAATGATAAAAAAAAAAAAAAAAAAAAAGGAAAATGAAATTACCAAATACCCCGGTGATGAAAAAAAAAAATATCTGCCTTGAAAATTAAAAAGAATTATAAGAGCAGAGAAATAGACTGGAAAGGGAAAGGGAATAGGAAAAGACAGAAGAAGCTGTTGGGTAGCTAGTATCACAGTATGCAAGAAGATTCGAGAAGTACAATATGGTCGACTGGCTGTCGAACCCTAGCATCGATTAAATAAACCAAAACTTTATAATAATTTGGTGCGCATTTTTATGACACTCCGATATATCACAAACGATGTATCTCCTTTCTCACCAGCTTGCATTTTGTCGTTTCTTGTTTTCTAATAAACAATATTCAGGAGAAGTGCTGACAAATTTAGAACATGTCCTGTTAAGTTACACTAAGGAAAGGTCGATAATTAAGCCAAAAATTAAACAATTAAAAATAAAAACACCTGAGCTGTAGCTGCTGGTGATTTTTTATGTTGCATTATTAGGGAGACATGGATTTCCCTATATTATATTGCTACTGTGTAATGAAAACAACACAACACTAATATATTTCACTCAACATTTGGTAAGATAAAATCTTGATGATGGTAAATTAGTGTACAATTATACAGAGGTGAAACGACTTACACCTATCTAAGGTTTGATGAAACCACGATTGATACCTAAAAGATTTTAAAATGACAAATATGTACCTTCTGTTAGTGAAAAGACTAGAATACTCTTTAAGAAATATTAGTCAGATTCCGACGGATACCTACCCAAAGTTTGATGGAATTAATAAAGTTAAGGAGTCTAAAAGTAATTAAGAGTATTCTAGTCTTTTCACTAACAGAAGGTACCTGTTTGTCATTTTAAAACCTTTTAGGTACCAATCATCGTTTGGCCAAACCTTGGGTAGGTATAAGTCATTCAGTCTTATACATACAGAATAAATGACAACAATAATGATATACTTACTCACGAGTTTACTAACCGTCTTACTACCTTTGTTAAAATTTTATATAATACCCGTACTATGTGTATAATACCCGTACTATATATTATATTTACAAAGGATAGTAAGATAGTTAAGAAGATTATTAATAAGATTGTGAGTAAATATAACATTACCTTCGATGGCAAAATGAAGGGTCACTTCACTTTCACAATAATGCAATAGGCAGCAGATGTACCAGATTACATCCGAGGCTTTTTGTTGGACTCCGTTGAGTGAAAAAAAAAAAGAAAATGTGAAAGCTGTAAATAAATGAAAGTGCAGGCGAGCCGGTGGGTGAAAACAATCCTAGGGAATGCAATCACCTTGAAACTAGTTAAGGGAACCTCACCTACCAAGTACATTATACATAATATTATATTTATAAAAACAGTCACCTTGAAAATAGTTGCAGAGCTCTTAATGTCCTCTGGAGTAGCTGCTTTTCTTCCATCACAATCTTGACGACTTGACCTACCTAAATAAGGAAGAAAAGCTGTGGACAATATACAGAATAATGAACAACACTTTGCTTTGATTCTTCCATCACCAAACCCATGCCCAATATTAAACAATACTTCCTTTTACGTTGGTGCACAGCACACCTTTCATAATAATGAACAACACTTTGCTACCTACTTTTCTTTCAATTAGTTATACATACAAATTAAATTAATTATGTTTTTTGGTGTAATTGATTTAAATAAATCTTTATTTGATTTGAATTAATCTTTTAGTGGTTAATATATGACTTTCTAACACAAATTTCAGTGTCATTAAGTTTGAAAAAGGTGACCAAATATACATGAATTTGTGACTCGTTATGAGGTTGATTGATTCGTTGGACCGACAGAAAATGACCTCTAATCAGTTAAACTATATAGTATAAAATATGTTAGGTGTTCGAGTAGGGTTTATGTGTCAAGAGTAACAGTTTTACAACATCTCACTAATTAGAATTAAAAACTTAAAAGAAAACCTCAATTAAAAAGAAAACGAATGCATATTATAAGAGATCATAAGACCTGGATAAAATCATTATAAATTAGAGATTTGTTTAAAAGAAGTGCTTACTTTTACCCAATGGACTAATTAAATTAAATTAATTAACTACAGTTTGATATGTAACTAGATACGAGTATGAGTATATTACTCTTCCAACAATGTATTACTAATTATAATCAAATCATCATATAACAATTTATTACTAATGTTTAAATCATCATACACCAGTCAATTAGTAGTGTGACAGTATACCACTTTATTACATATTATTATTCAGGATATAAGACTATATATTGAGAAACTTTAAAACTACCCGTAATATATAGTTAATTACATATATATTTGAAGTGGTAAGGATAAGGTATATCTGAACTGACACATTTCCGTAAATAACCACGTATTAAGGTCATCTGGAAACATGAGGAAACTCAACATTCTATTATATCTACCAGTCACCATTTGCATGGACGACTCCCTTCCTTTCACGCCGTTTACGCACCGAACAGTCCAATTCCCCTCTTCTTTGATTTTATGGAAATGGAATGTTCAGAATTGACCATTTATTATATACTAATTAATTAATATTAATCTCATTAACTCTGTCTTTACTTATTATGACCAGCAGTTGGGTGGCCGTCAGTCTAAGCTTGTTTGTTTTCTGAGAAATCGAAGTTTTCTTTCATTTTCATTTCCAAATATTTTTCTGGTTTTGAAGTTTTGATTCAACGCATGCAAACAGAGAAGTGGGGTTGGATTGTGGACCATCCTCCGTAACTACCACAACTAATTGCTTACATATTCATCCTCCACAAATTTAATTATTTTATATTTGTTAATTAATTATTTCAATCATTTTTTTAATAAATTATGCTTATGTTTGTTTCACTCTTTTGAATCATTTTTTTTGTTATCCTATTTGGATTAAAAAAAATTGAATATGTGTTTGTTTAGTTATTGAGATTATTATTCTGAATCAAATAAATTTTTTTTTTTCTACTGAAAATGAAAAAGGGGAGACTTGTTTTCTATTATCTTATTCTATTGAATTCAAAACATTTTTTCAACTCTATTCAACTAAAAAAAATTATATTTCACTCCTTCCAATCTGAAAATTAAGCCACTCAAACTGCCACCGCTTGCCAGCAACCAACGGCAGTTGGCAGCGGCTGATGGAACGACGCACAATCGGTCAATCGTGCGTCAATCTTGTCATTTCCGGTCAAATCCACCATGGACCTGGTTAGAAACTGTCAGATCCACTACTATATTCTGTCGGATCTAGCCATTAACGATTAGATCTATCTAGCTATTGATAACAACTAGCTTTTGGTCATCGTTGACAACTAGATTTTGGGGGGTGTTTTAGTTCATTTTTAAAGTTTTATTGTGGGGGGTGTTTAGCTAAATTAATAAATACAGGGGGTTAAAAAAGAAGTCTAAATGTTTTTAGAAAATGTTTTCTAAAAATGTACCAAACAACTATTCATCATTTTATCCAACTCTAATATAATTTTCAGATATTATCAAGCACATTCTCATAATTCTATCTTATTCAATTTAATCCAATTCAACTCAACTTAAAATAGTTTTTCAGAATAACATTTTTCAAATAATCTACCAAACAAGCCAACAGTATGAGAAAATCTAGAATTAATATTAAAAAGATAGTCATATCATCTATACCGAAAACTAATACATTTATGTTAATTATAATTTATTTTTTTATTTTCATATATCTTTACAATGAGAAAATCTATAATAGTAATTAGTAAGTGTATTAATACATATATGTCATATTATTATTATTTATTTAAAAACTACAAATTACATTTATAATAAAGACAAATGAATGAGCAAAAAATTTGCCAACGGCATACAAAGTTTACAAACATTGATTTGTGCTATAAGTGATGTGAAATTCATGTTTTATATTAAAATTAATATGATTCATAAATATTAAATTGAAAAATTATGTGACATGATATAAGAGACATGTATTAATTGGTGGTGTAAGAATATAAGTGTGTTTGATACACCGTATTGGTATTGGATTAGACTAACTTCATAGGATTGAATTGAAATGAATAACAATAAATTGAATTGGATGACAATATTGATATTAATACTACGCTATGTTTGATATAATACTGTATTCGACAAAATTATTGATATTAAAAATTTATTATTTAATTAACTTGAATAAAATATATATTTTTAAATATAATTATGTAATTAAGAAATTATATTACAGTAGTAAAACATCTTTAAAATTCCGAACTTGATGCAAACTTCATATCTGTAGGATTTCGTTTGAGATACTGATTCATCTTTGAGTCTACTGGAATTAATTTCTTATTGATTAAAGAACAATTACATAACAAATTGGAAAAAAAGCAACAAAATCAATTTGATTATTCTCTCGAAGTAGTAATTAATGATGAAAAAAACTAAGCTAAGCAATCAACGCGTTAGCCTGAAACTTTTCCCGGTAAATGATTGGAACTTCTCTGTGCTCTTGACTGTTTCTTCTCGTTTGGTATCCTCTTTCACTGACGCTTCAGCTTTTTCTTTCCCAGACCTGGAATCAAATACAAGTTTTCCTCCAGCCTTACGAGGCTCAGGCGCCTCTGCACATGTACTTTTGCCTTTGCCTTCTGCTGCAAGCAACTCCTTCTCATTCTGCCCCGATCTTGGCATCCCATCCAAGCGCCTTGCTTTACCACTGAATGGTATGAAAGCCTTAACCTTTTCTTCTTCCTTAACAATCGCCTGCTGCTTAACTGGAACTTTAGAAGGCTCAAGTACCTTCTTCACCGGTTTTCTGGGTTCTTCATAGTCCAAAGGCGGCGCAAAATCGACCTCACAGTCTGTATCGATCATACATACAGCAGGAGAAGGCTTTGTTTCCAGTATATTAATGTAGAGCTTCTTGTTGTCATGCATGATCATGATGGTGTCTCCAGTGGTTAAACAAGAAAAGTTTCTTAGACTTGTTTCGAGGAGAGCTTTTGGATTCGAGAGTTTCAAGAAATCCTGAGTGTGTGGCTGCAACTTCATGTGCTCTGCTTTCATTAAACTTACATTCTTGAGTTTTATTGAATCATATTCTTGAATCTTCATAACTTCCATCATCCAAGTAGGCACGTATATGAAACCGTCCTCGGCAGTGAACTCGAGAACACCACAGTGAGTGATTTTACCTGAACGAAGATTAGATCACTCAAATTCCAAAGGGTATTTGACATTGGTGTATTCAAGTCGGTGAAGGGCGGATTGAGGCATGATGATCTTGTTACCACTCTCTAAGTGAAGCTTATCAACACGCGAGAGAGAGTAACAATGATAATATTTTTCAAAGAATTCGAAGTTATCATCAGCCTCCCACCCTTGATTGTCATCCCAATCATCCATTGAGTGCGCTTCGAATTTAGAAGAAGGAGAAGAAGAAGAAGAAGAAACAAGAAGAGTAATTAGAAGACTCGATTTGAAACCTGTGATTATGTGCAAGCTGAGAGGTTAATATATAGGTATAAGGCCAACCTAGTTTTTTAATAGGAATAGGAGGTCTATTCCTAATCCAATCCAATAAAGTTGTTCCTAACACTTGCAGAATACGATAATTATTTGATTATTTAAATTAAAATTAACAAAAATTAACCTGATTAATTGAGGAGACAATTGTCCTAATGAGCTTAATCATTTGTAAAACATGGGCAAACAGAATCTAAAACCTAAACTTACTTGGACTAAGTACAGACCGAACAATCCCAAAGATCAGTCTCTGTACTTGGTAAGACGCACATGGTTCACCATCCTAATCCAGAACTTCTCCAGCATAAGATCCTTTTTCATTAGGATTAGATTGCTTAAAACAGGAAAGTAAGCAGCAAATTTGCACTTGCCAATGTAATAATACATGACCATTAAAAAGCCTTCAAAATACAATTTCCACTAAGAGTAGAAGAAAATTATTCACAAAAGTAATACTTCTATCCTTGTGGACAAAAACAAAGAACATACACTTCCTCAATACCACCCACTGTTTCATGTTTGCTTATAATAAAAAGAATTCAAACTCATTTAATTTCAGAAGGCAAACCTGGTTAACAAGATAATTCAAGAACTTTAGGCGCGTCGCAAAATTTTTCAAACATCCAAAAGACAGTTGTACACAACTTCATCAAGTTTTAGATACTATTAAAGAAATAGCAATCCCAATGAAAACAAATTTAAGGTGAATGATTGTAAACTGCAAAGGTGAACTATTAAACTCTAAACTCAAATTCGTATAGAGGTAAACAGCAAATCTGTACCTACGAGTGTAACAATACACAACTATTTACATGCTTCAAGCTACAAGTTATGCTAAAGTGTGCAAGAAAATTACTAGTAAGCTAACACTTTCATAGAACACAAATAAGAACATTGACTTTCTCCCATTGTTTAAAAATAACATATAACAAAAACAACTCAAGACCCAAAATCAGGTGAAGGAAACCTGAAGATATTAAAAGTTTTGTTGCATTGCCATAGAACTTCACAAGGCAAAACTGTATTTTCAACCCACACCTTAATTCAAGAGGTTTCAGAAATTTAAGAAAACTTTTATACATTCAGAAGACCTTGGTATGGGGTTTCATCTTTTCTTTTGGTACTATTTATGTTTTTACTCTCACCTTATTGTCTTATCTTTTATTACCAAATAATTTCCATTGTTGTTAGAAAACTCCGAGTTGAGCAACTCCAAGTGCCATTAAGAATCTTGCTTGTAAATGTTACAGCAGGAGACAATGAAACACTGAGCAAATCAGAGTCATCAGACAACTTCATCAGCAGACAGAATGCCTCAAAGGCAGCCACACAAAAAATTTAAACCTTATTTAGAAACAAAATCACAACAGTCTTTCCCTTCTTGTGAAAATAAATGTATTAATCATTTTCATTTATTATGCAAGATTCATATTATAGCACTAATATAGCAAATGATCCAGGAAGGCAAAATGGAAAACGTAACGAAATATCATTCTCAATTAAAACAAACAGAATTGCATGATAGTAAACTGTAAAGAAACTAATTTACTCTTAAACTCAGATTTGTACAAAAAGATTTTATTCAATTTTGGGATTCCCCATTTCTTCATTTTTATTTACAGGGCACCCTTCTGTGTAAAGACTATGCTATCCTTATGAAACATATGCTTAATTGACTACATTTTACAAGGATAAAAAATGGGAATTCAATCTCAAGTGTCCCATTTCATCTTTCATAGAAAGAAACTATTTACAAGGTTGCATATGCAAATGCAGAAGGAAAAAAGAGCTTCATTGGGAAGAGGGAGAAGAGGAAGTAGTACTACTTGTTAGAACAACAAACATATCACTTCGCTAGTCCTTTAGGGACATCTGAAAATGGTGAGAAGCAAGATATTATTGATGCTGGGGTGGGGTCAGGCAACTCCTCCAATGAACTTGCTCTTTATCTGGAGGATTCTGTGAGCATCTACTGTTCTGCTCTCAGTTTTCACCGCATTGACATTAATGTGCCAACTCTTTTCTCCCTCTCAGCTGTCCTAGCACTTGGGGTCCTCTTCAGTTTTCCCAATTCCTCTATTATGACTTTCTCAACTTTGACAATTGAGTTCAAAAGTTTCTTCTGAGGTGTGAGAGACTCTAACTCTCCACCAGCCTGATTTGCGATGATATGAAGCAAAATCTTAGGGAGACAATGCTTCTTATGGAAAGTTGGATTTGGTGACAACATTGAAGTATTGTGCTCTAGTTGAGCACCTGACAGTGGCTCAGGGGAATCAACTACTCTTTGGTCCTAACATTGGACTTTCCATTTGTAGACCTTCAGCTGCTCCCAAGCGAGCTCCTTTCCTTTCAATCGCCTGATGAAAGCCAGAGTTAGAAATCTCTATATATGTCCAATGTCTCAGTACTGAAGTATTGTGCTCTAGCTGAGCACCTAACAGTGGCTCAGGGGAATCAACTACTCTTTGGTCCTGAGACATTGGACTTTCTATCTGTAGACCTTCAGCTGCTCCCAAGCGAGCTCCTCTCCTTTCAATCTCCTGATGAAAGCAAGAGTTAGAAATCTCTATATATGGCCTTAGAAAGCCCCAAATGGAAAGGGGAATTATAACAATGGACTGCAAAAAGGATTTTACTTTGACTCAAGTTAAGGCCAATGATATCTCTGACTCGAGCATTTATGAATAAACACAATGGCTCTATGGCACTTCAAGCAGATTGTCAGCAGGGTGTCACTTGTTGAATGCTTAAATTAAACAATGCAGAACACCAAATAGGAATGCATTAATGCACAGGACACCGTGAAGATTCTCATGGCCAAAAAACAATACAGAACAACATAAAAACGTTTACCAGAAGGGAACGCTCTAACACTGTTGATACAAAAATCTACACTAACCAGCAAGATTCGATCGACCTTGTCGGGATCGGAACTGATGTGTGCGTGATTACGGATAATCAGTGATGAGTGAATGATAATGCCAGAAAGTAAATGACAAAGAGAACTTTTAAAGTGGTTCGGCAAAGTTAATTGCCTACGTCCATTGTGTTTTATGTATATGTTGTGAGAGCTTACAATGTAGTTTTAATCCAGAATTTGTATCCTCCCCCTTATCGTTTTAGGGGGTTTATATACAAGATTTACATAAAGGAAAGAGCGAAATTAAGGGGATTACAAAGGATTTGAATCACAATTCTCATATCCTTGCGATTAAGCGCTATGATCGCGCAACGATAACTTTTGATCTAGTCATTCCCGCGATATCCGGGATCTGAAGTAATCTGGGGATTGATTGATTAATTCCTAGGATTGTCCGCGACTAGCTTGTGTTGGGTCGAGCTACGGCTCGACGAGCTTATGCTGGGTCGATCAATCATAGTTGCCGAGATCATTCTAGGCCAAGCTATATCCTCGCGTTGACCCGAGCTTGGCGGACAAACCACACACAACATCTACCCTCTAGTTTTTGATGCTCATTTCGGGCTTTGAAGACTATCGCTTGATCTGACGCCAAGCTTGGCTTCAACAGTGAGTCTCTGAATGCATGCTCGATTGGGCTTCCACGATCAACCTTACGTCTGGTCGACGTTCTTCACACTTGGACATTATTGAAAGAAAACCATGACGAGGTGGCGGAAAATGTAGATTGAAAGCATGAAAGGGTTGGATTAATAGGATTCAATTTTTTTTCAAATAAAGCTTGAAAACATTATACCTTCTCCTTTGCTTAAGGTTGATGAAGCCAAGATTCAAAAAGATAAATCTTCCACACTTTAGCACTACCTTGAGAGAGTGGCCAAACCCTAAGAGAGAGAGAGATTGTTTTTCTTTTGAGTGAACCAAATGAAAAACTTAACCTAAAATGCAACCATTTGCATTTATATATATATGGGCCATTTTGTAATTAGTTGTTTTTCACTTCTATGCCCGAATAAAATCTTATTTTAAACGGAGCCCAAGTATTTATTATTTGACCTTTTGAATAATCAATATTATTTAAGGGCCCATATAAACTAAACTAGTTTACATTAACAACCCACAAGTTTATCCTTTTGCCCTTTAACTATTAAAAGGTTATTTTAGTTCATCTCATTTATCTTAACGCTTTAAGAAATAACAATTAAATACAATTAATTATTGCTTGACAATTTTAACCCTTAAAATGTCACAAATAATTTTCTATGTAACTATTATCATAGAAATCTTGTCATTACCCTCGAAAGGTGCTAGCCCTCTTCGGATAATCATCTCTCTCTCTCTCTCTCTCTCTCTTATTCTTCTCTAACTTCTCAAGGCTATTGGTGTGACCATGTAGGTCCACTGTGGATTAGCCGTGAGCCGATTCTGAATGAATCCGAAAACTTGTCCGGAGGCCCAACGACTATGGTAAACATCTAGCAATGTGTCATAGTCTTTAAACCACGATGAAGAAATACTTCATCGAACCCATTTCAGATCATATGTAAGTCCCTCCATTGATATATCCTGATCAAGTAAAAATTCATGGAACGTCAAAATCCTAAACTTAATCTTCTATTGAATCGTCGATCAATATGTCTAGAACTCGTCATCACGAACTTGCTTTCGTATGACTAATAATAGACTCTGGCCAGAGATTCTGATTTTCAACATCTATTGACGTTCGTCCAGGAACTTAAATCCAAATAGAGTCAGCGGTACTCATGATCCTATATTTTCGAGTCAATTGATCTTTTCTTGACTATTGTTTGTTTTTGCATATGAACAACGCATGACCAAATAGGCTTTATCATACGAAACATGACTAGTCTCGTACTTATACATGGTATGAACCATACGCATCCGTATCGGATCCGACCACAATGTCTCAGGTCAAAGGGCTACATCGTGCACTGATATAACCAAACGATAAATCATTGACTACATGCTTTTACAAGTGATTTATTGTTATTCGGTCACGTTCGAAAAGCAGTTCACCAACTGCTAATTCATACCAATGCCCCAATGACATGACTATCATCGTCATCCGTACTTATATCAACTCATGATATATTTCAGAAGCATCCAGTAGGCCTACTATGCAATATAGTTGCCCAAATTATATTGCTTCCGTAGGGAACTCTTTTGATAATTCATTTACCGATTAAATGAATCATCTGGACAATTCATATACATACTTTATTTTAAATGCATGACTGAATAAAAGAAGCAATTTATATATATGAATTAAAGAACTCTTTTTTCTATTATTTATGATATATTGATACAAGACAAAATGCTCTAAAACCGACAACACGAATGGTTTCTAAGGCATACACTAATATATACTAACAAACTTCCACTTGCACTAAAACCATTCGATGTTGTATCTCATACCCATCTTCTCAAGATGATGGTCTAATTGCTTTAGTGTTATCGCCTTAGTCAGTGGATCAACTACACTTTCTGTTGAAGGTGTCTTCAGAATTATAATCTCTCCAGCTCCAACGAATTCTCTCAATATGTGATATTTGCGTTGAATGTGTTTGGATTTTTGGTGTGCCATTGGTTCCTTTGCCTGTGTAATAGCTCTAGTATTGTCACAGAACATGCTTATCGGGTAAGCCATGTTCGGAACCACACCAAGTTCAATTACGAACTTTCGCATCCAAATAGCCTCCTTTGTTGCTTCTGAAGCAGCAATGTATTTAGCTTCTGTAGTGGAGTCTGCTATGGTTGTCTGTTTGAAACTTTTCCAACTAACAGCACTTCCATTACATATAAAAATGTACCGTGACGTAGACTTTCTATCATCAATATCTGATTGGAAATCAAAATCTGAGTATCCTTGAATGTTTAACTCTGAACATCCATAACTCAGAACTAGATCCTAAGTTCTTCTCAAGTACTTAAGGATCGCTTTTACAACCGACCAATGTTTCTTCCTTGGATTTGACTGATATTTGCTCGTAACACTTACAACATAAGCTATATCAGGTCTTGTACATAGCATTGCGTACATTAAGCTGTCTACAGCAGACGCGTAAGGCACATTAAGCACTGCTGCTCTTCATCGGTCTTTGGACCCATCTCCTTGGAAAGATGAAGACCGTGAGTGAAAGGCAAAAGACCTCTCTTAGAGTTCTCCATGCTAAATCTTTTTAGCATTTTCTCTATGTACAATTTCTGGGATAATCCAATTATCATTTTCGTTCTATCTCTATAGACACGAATGCCAAGGACATAGGTCGTTTCTCCTAAGTCTTTCATCGAGAAAGTTTTAGACAACCAAACTTTAACCTTTGTCATCATGCCTATGTCATTTCCCATCAAAAGTATGTCATCTACATATAATATGAGAAACGTGATGGCATGATCTTTAACCCATTTGTATACACAGGGTTCATCCGGATTCTTGACAAAACCAAATGATTTGATTATGTCATCAAATTGAATGTTTCAGCTTCTTGAAACTTGCTTCAATCCATAAATAGATCGATGCAATTTGTATACCTTATGCTTTTCAGCAGAGGATACAAAACCCATCGGTTGTTTCATATAGATGTTTTTATCAATAAACCCATTAAGGAAAGCTGTTTTGACATCTATCTACCAAATTTCATAATCATGGTATGCTGTAATGACTAGCATTATACGGATGGATTTAATCATAGCTACAAGCAAAAAGGTTTCCTCATAATCCAATCCTTGTTTCTGAGTATAACCTTTCGCCACCAGTCGAGCTTTGAAGGTCTCTACCTCCCCATCCTTGCCAACATTTCTCTTGTAGACCCATTTGCAACCTATAGGAACTATTCCCTCTAGTGGATCCACAAGTGACTATACTTGATTGGCATGCATTGATTCTATCTCAAAATCCATCGCTTCTAGCTAGAGGTGGGCATTTGGGATTGGGTCCAAAAACCCAGCCTAAAAACCTGATCCTAGGACCGGTCCTTGAGAGGACCAGTCCTAGGAGGCCTGGTCCCGTTGAGGAGGGCCCAGTGGACCGGGCCCCCCTCTAAGGCCTGGGCTTGGGCCCAAATTTTTTTTCACATTTTTGGTTTAGTCCCTTGTACAATTACAGATTTTAAAAATTAAAATTTATTATTTTTTAAAGTTAAAGTCTTCATGTTATTTAATTGTACATAGCTCATGTTAAAAATGTTTAGCATTTTATCGGTTAAAGTCTTCATGTTATTTAATTGTTTATTTGTGAAGCATGAATGTGTGAAATGTGAATTTATGTTAAAAATTAAAATTTATTATTTTTTAAAGTTAAAGTCTTCATGTTATTTAATTGTACATAGCTCATGTTAAAAATGTTTAGCATTTTATCGGTTAAAGTCTTCATGTTATTTAATTGTTTATTTGTGAAGCATGAATGTGTGAAATGTGAATTTATGTTAAAAATTAAAATTTATTATTTTTTAAAGTTAATTAAATTCTTAGAAACTTACTAATCTACCCCTGAAAAATACTAAAAACCCCCTATAAAATTTTATTTCGCCTCTAAAATATGAAAAAAGATCGGGGGGGGGGGGGGGGGGGGGGGGGGGGGGTGAATTATCTAGGCCCATA